AGAGGAAAATGCATATGACAAAATCTCTGCCTTCAAAGTACCTGCAAAGCCATCACAATCCAAGCCCAGTCCCTTGAGTAAATATCTAAGAGGTCATTGTTTAATTTTCTCAACTACCGAGGTTCCACAATAGCTTCCAATTTCCCCATGCAATTACCAGAACATCTATTATTTCCACCCAAAAGATCTTAAATTTATATATATATATATATATATATATATATATGTGTGTGTGTGTGTGTTTGTGTGTGTGTGTGTGTGTACTAACAATATAACATCACTGAAGCCATTGGGGCAATTTTCCACATTTTCAGCAACACTGAAAACAGACCAACCGAACTCTGGAGCAGCAAGACAGCACGTGACCAGTGAAGTTATTTTCCCGCTCACAAACGCCGGGACACCACTAATGTCTTTTTTCGGGAACAAAGTAAAGAGTTGAATAAATTCGTTCAAGTACTTTAAATCAACTAAATTGTATCAGCTGCATGTTTCCTTTTTTCACCTTTAGGATGTCCCATCTTCCATAATGCATGATAGAACTTCAATTGAACGCCGATCTGTGGCAACGTCAACACCGAGCACTCTTGAAACAAAGAGAGTTGAACCAAAATACCCCTGCGAGAGTAAACTTATTAATTATTTATTCCTTTGATTCATAGTCATTTATAGTACCTTCATCATTTCTTTTACTTTTTCAATTGCAGAAGGTCGAAGTAGCGTTACTCGTCAGCATAGTTATGTGAGCTACAGCAACGAGGCATCAACTTACAGAAGGGCACCTAGAGCTGGTGCTATAATAACCTCTGCTCGGTTGTCAAGACGGCGGTAAATATTACTTAATTAGACTACTACTTAAACAAAACTAATTTAAATATCTACGGATTATATGCTCCACTCGCGTAACTTACAAACCATTATAAAGCATCTTTATTTTAAGAATACCTTAAAACTGAATTGTATTGAGGTTGTAACGGATTTCTACGCCAGTAAAGCCTGACTGACTCAGTAATCTCTGTGGCAGATTCTCCTACATCTAGCTAGACTCCCAGAACCAGCTAAGCTATAGCTCCACGGATTGCTACGCTAGTAAAGCCTGACTGACTCAGAAATATTGCTACTCTAGTAAAGCCTGACTAACTCAGAAATCTCTGGCTACGCTAGTAAAGCCTGACTGACTCAGAAATCTCAATGGGAGATCCTCCTACATCTAGCTAGACTCCCAGAACCAGCTAAACCAAAGGAAACAGACGTGTAGCACGGAGCACGCTAAAGGAAACAGACGTGCAGCACGGAGCACGTTTATTCAGAAAGGAAACAGACGTGTAGCACGGAGCACGTTTATTCAGTATGGGTATTGCGGATAAAGTGCACACGCATGGAGATGCTCATGAGCAGGATGGGGGGATTAGGTTAAACAGAGGTTGATGATTGGTCAGATGGATGAGGGATTAGGTTAAACAGAGGTTAATCATGATCAGGATGGCGGATTAGGTCAAACAAACAGAGGCTAGTGGTCACTGTTAGTACGGTCGCTGCACACAGAGTTGTACGGCCGCACCCCCCAAACCTCGCGTGTGGCATGAGATGACGCGCTAAGCGATGCCGTGTCCCACAAGGGAAACTCGAAATTTGAAAGTAAAGGTATTTAAAATTTTGTAACTTAAAGTATTATATAGTGTTTATTTCAAATGGCAGGCGTTATGACAGGTATCATTAGCCCTTTAGTTGACTTCGGGACTCACAGAAAGGAAGATGAACATCAATGTGGCAAAAAGTCGAAAGGGGGAAAGATTAATGATCCACTGATGTAAAAAAGACAGACAGACAGACACAAAGACAGAGAAAAGGTAAGATGATTACTGTGGATGGGGTCGAAAATGACATACAATGGGGTCATGGTAGTTTGAAGTTAGAGGTCAACTGCCAGTTAATAAAATTTTTGTCGTGTGAGTATACGTTGCCCAGGGTGCACCACGTGGAGGTAAGTCTATCGCACACCCCGAGAAGAGACTAATATCGAGTTATTGAAACAAGATTTTTTACACTTTGTCTATACTATGATTCAAATTTTCAGGAACAAAATTCCAGTGCAAATATGCATAATATGAGGGGCGTTTTGTCTTTTAATACAAAATTTTCAGAGGACGTAAGGATGGTAACGTAGGGACCTCGGTACAAAAGATAATGTTATTCCCGGTTTAAATGCAAAGGTTTGCATTCATTTGCACTCGCTTAACTCAGCAGGTTCAACTTCGCTAATTGAGTATAAATAAATGCTTTGAAGGGCGACTAACCATATTGTTGAATAATTTTTTTAATCACGTACTTCACGAAAATTGGGCGGTTTATCTTCCGCGAAACCACAATCTCGCTTCAAACTCCTATCCGTCAATGGGGGGCGCACTTACGATGTTCCTTTTCCTATAACTGTCACGTTTCATTTAAATAAACCCCACACTCTTACCCTTGCACACACACACACACACACACACACACACACGTTCATGCATAGGCACACACGTGATTGCCATTATCTGCTCGTACACTTCCTTTTACTCACTTCTCTCTCCTTCGCTCTCTTGAATTCTCGTCGTGATTATAAGATGCACTTTTGTTTGAACACCTCGTTTCGCTCTTCTTTTGTGACTGCAATTTGTATGAGAATAACTTCCAAGCATTTGTGATGCTTCAACAGTGCTCACTCGATTTCAAAAAATTTAAAAGAGTGAGCCATTTTCGATTTGTTGAGTTATAGAGCAGTTGATTGGTCTACATCGCTAAGGTGTCCCTCTTATTTATTTTCTAATTTTTAATTTCAGGTCAAGTAATTGGGCTGCGGTGAAGGCATTCGCAATTGCAACAGCAGCTAGTGGATCAAGTCGATTTTCACATCACAGACGCATAATCTGTCCACAGCGGTCTCCCATGAAGCTGACACCAGTTGTACCTACCACAACTACTCCAATTCATTTTGGTGAGGGGTTATCGGTCTCGTCTTCACTTTCCACCAAGGCACCCACTGGAGATACTGGAGATACTCAATTTTCTAGAATTGTACCATCAACATCGACGCCAGAGTCTAGGCGAGAAGCTGTCTTGGCTGGAATGACTGTGCTGAGAGTGCTGAATGTCGCACGCCATTGGATTACTAAATATCCTGAGGTACATAACAATTGGTTGAAGTCTGAAGTGACGAAATATAGGGGCAAACGCTTATTTACTAAAAGAGTAGGAAATTAATGGTTCATGTCAAACTATGTGCAATATTTGCTAATATTATAAGAGATGGATTTGCATCAATAATAATAACTAACTTAACAGTGGACACAAACACTCCCTATTTAATGATGACTCATTCAAGCATTCAACTGCATATTGAAACTCGATAATTTAATTTAAGAATTAATTTTAGTTTAATTTAGGAATTAACTTTTCTCTATTGCAATTAAAAAAAGGTAGAATTATTGGCAAAAAATTACTTATATAATAATTAGCATTTAACCTGCGTTAGTCGATCGGACCCAATCAAACAGTTATCATTCTGTTTAAAGGTCTGATTTTAGGAATTTCCGTCTTTCACAAACTTTGTGGGAGTCTAGATACATCCGGGTCTAATCAGAGGATGCAACCAGGTGAATGTAAGGAGAACTGAACTGTTTGGACCACTTTGATGATTTCTGGAGTCTAACTTCCCTTGGGTAAAATTGTAGAGTGCCCACTTCGATCATTAGCAAGCGTTAAATTCAATTAATATAGAAACACGAGATGATTTGAGAGGTGGTGTCCTTATTTATGCTAATTATTTCAGTACCGTTAATTTTATTACAGGAGAATGCGAAAACTGACGTAAAAATGTTATTCAGATTAAAATTAATTCACCTGATTTATATATTTTAATCTGAACTCAATAAAGATCAAAAAGGAAAAATCTACAACTTTCCCGTCCATCAGATAGACAAGGTTTCCATTCTGTCATAATGCTTATTCATTATGCTCAGAGCTTTAGCGTGGGAATCTACTAATATGTTATAAAGTAGCCCTGTTTCACCACTTTATGTTTTTGCACATGTCTAAGCCAGGTGCTTTGGATTTGATAGCTTTTTTATCTGGAGAAGAAGACATACTTAGGGTGAAACGAACTTGGGAAGAAGCCATTGGGTGTCTTAGTTAAGTGAATTCAATGATCAGCTAAGATTTAATTATATCAAATGGCAGGCGTTTTGATGGCTATCGTTAGCGCTTTAGTTGACTTTAGGCTTCACAGAGGGGATAGAACATCAAAGTGAAGAAAAAGTCGAGAAGGGGGGGACAGAAGAGTGTTTCAAAGACGAAGGTAGAAAAAAGGTGAGATGAGTACTGTGGTAGATGTCGAATATGCATACAGTGGGGTTATGGTGGTTTGAAGTCAGAAGTCAACTGCCCATTGATAGACTTTTTTGCCGTATGAGTATACGTTGCCCAGGGTGTACTACATGGAGGTAAGTCTATCGCACACCCATGATCAGCTAAGATAAATTCTAAGCAATGCAGCGAATGTTTCTAAGAGGTCCAACAATAACTAACTAATGTGCCGAAACCCGAAAGCACAAGGAAAGTGATCTGACTTTATTCGACTGTTTCAAGTAATTGATAAGCCAGTTTCACAAAAGTTCCAACAAACAAAAGCTCAGAATTCTTTCTTATTGTCTATTTGTTAACCTCAATAGGGAATTAACTCTAAACCTATTCTAGGATTTTGATGGTGACGCACAGCTGAAGTCAAAAATGCAAATTCTTCTTGAGGAAGTTCTTCGCAATCCACGACTTAACGTCTCCAATAGAAAGGTGGCATTCCAACTTTCCAGGGAGATGATGAATGATCAACTAGTTGAATCTAGAGTCGACTTAGCGCTACTCATGACTCCTACACAGGCAAGTTTAGTTATCCTTCATATAATTAATCAACACATATATTTTACTAATAAGAAGTATTTTCGACATAAAGGTTCCGTCGAAGGAGAATTTTGACACCATTCCAGCACTGGATATAGCAGAAGAGTTAACTTACCTCGATTTTCATATATTTCGTTCCATTAAGACTGAGCAAGTTTAGCGCCTAGCATTGCGCATGTGTTTCTCTTTTGTTTATTTTAATTGCATTATGTATTACTTTGAACAGAGAACTGTTGAATCAAGTCTGGATGAAGGATGGGAAGGAGACTAAAGCTCCTCATGTTATGTTAGTGACAAAACGTTTCAATGAGGTCAGCAAGCTGGTTGTCTCTGAAATTATATCAAGACCGGAAGTCCCCGATCGCGCTACTTGTATTGAAAAGTGGGTTGCAATCGCTGATATCTGTCGCTGCTTGCAGAATTACAATGGTGTTCTCCAGATCTGTGCTGCTTTAGAAAGTAGCTCCATTCACAGACTCAAAAATACTTGGGAAGTAGTTGCCAAGCCATCAAGACAATCATTTGAGAAGCTTCTCAACCTTGTGGCAGCGTCAGCTAGGTTCAAGAACATGAGAGAGATGCTGCATAGGTAAGACACACCTTGGTTGAAATAAATTACCTTTTGTTGATATAGTATAAGAACTATAATCTGCTGTATTTTAGATGCGATCCACCATGCATTCCATACCTGGGAATGTATTTAACCGACTTGTCATTTATTGAAGAAGGAGCTCTTGATATAACTGAGCATGGACTGATCAACTTCTGCAAAATGAGGATGGTAAGTGGCGAAATTTCTACACAGTCTTCTTTAGTTGGCACATGTTCTAATGGAAATACGGCGATATACACAGACGCCTTATATGATTGAACTTAGACAGGAGGTTGTTGATTACCTTCTGGACCCAACAAGGTTACTCAGTGATGATCAGACTTATGAAGCCTCATTAACTATTGAACCAAGGCGAACATTCAATAAATCACCACAGCAACAAACAACTCCTTCGACCTCCGTTGCAGCCCCAAGCACACAGTATGAGGATAAATAAACTGGTTGACTGAAATTGCATTTCCATTAATGCTAAAATTTCATCTGTTAGTATATTTAAGGAAGGCAGCATATTCTTTTGATCTATTTTCGGGTTTTTGAAGAAAATGTTGCATGCGTTTATGGCAAAGTACATGCTCATGAATAGAATATAGAAAATGGTCTAAGTAAATCTGATTACTAGTATTGGTGGCTCTAAATTTATATTTTCACAAACATCATTTCAAAATTGTATTGGTTAACTTAAGTAAATGCACGCGAAGGAGTTATAAAAGATTAATAAAAAATGTGTCGGAGTTTCACCTAATAAGAAGAAGCAGAGTGTTAGTTAAGTTGGCGTTTGCTAAGGTTTCAACTCTGCTATTAATCACAACCAAAACTATGAAATTTATATGCAATTAGAGTCCTACTGCAATGAAATACGATCCCATAAAATTAAGGGTCGGGATCTAAGGAAAGAGGAGATAAAGTGCTCAATTTTTAATTTAAAATGTCGATTGAGATAGTAGATATTGAGATAGCAAGAACAAATTAGATGTTCACGTATGTACCCTATGGTGAAATTAATTATACAATTATAAAATAAAAAATTGCATATAATTTTGCTTTTTGTTATTTACATGAGGAACTCTAAAATGTATGATGAAGGCTATGGAAGGTAGGGTTTCAAGGAAAGTTGAGCCGCCATAATCACAAAGATACCGGGAATAATAATATTCATTTAAAGTGTAAATACAATGGAGAATGTAAAAAATCGTATCAATTCAAATAAAGTGAACCCAAGTTATCTAGATAAAAGGCAATGCAATAAAAAGGTGTTTCATGTTTATGAATAAAATAACTAATGGTCGGGGAAATGTCTTTATACACCCGTTTAGGCGATAGTTTTAAATACAGTAGTACATTCCACATTGAACTTAAACTAGTAATATAAAAATATTGGAAAATCTGCATAAATGGGGATAAGTCACAAATAAGAACAGAGACTGGTTTGGTCACAATCCAAACAGTATTTGAGAAGTAACGTTTTTAAATAGATAAAATGAAAAACTTCAATAATTTTAATTCATTTCTATCATTTTCATTTAATATTTCGAAAAATGAAGACATCACAACGAGGAACTTTCATTATCGTTATCGATTGACCTGCTAATCTTCCAGCCCGTAGCATTAACCCTTGTGGTCATAATTGAATCGACCGAAGATGAAAATGCTTCATATAAGATGTCTCTGTATTGTTATACTAGCTAATTTTATTTTGGCTGATTTTGAGTGTTCAAAATTGTGCTCTTCGGGAACTTGTTGCAAAGACGACAGTGGTAAAATGCTTTGTTGTCCGGCTTCCGGTGTAAGTATTCATCTTTCAGATTAGATTGACGTGTTTAGGGTGTCTGCTGTGCTTCCAGTAAAACATGCTGTCCTCCCGGTACTCAATGTAATGCAGATGGTCTCTGCTCAAAAGGCAATTCGGGGTTTTTCGGTCTTATTAAATATTTCGCACCTCAAAAGCAAATTCAAACGGAAGTTCCAGACATTGGAAATCCAGTTCTTAAGTCTTGCTTAACTTTCTGTGGTGATCTCTGCTGTGGGTTTAAGAATGTAAGAATAAATTTTTCACTAATCATTCTTTCTAGGGTGTTTGTTGCGAAGATGGGGAACATTGCTGTCCGTCAGGATATGTGTGCGATGCTGCCTCACAATCTTGTCGCCTTTCTTTACCTGATCCCAACCCTAAATCTGTAACTGGTGGTCGCAACTGTCTGTTGTCTGAATCAGATTGCCCACAATCTACAACGTGTTGTGTTTTAACAGATGGAAGTAAAGGATGTTGTCCATACAAAAATGTAAGTATTTTTCAAGTCATGCTATTTCATGTTACTTCCTGAGATTAATCGAAAGCTTTGCTTATTTTGAGTAATTTTATTCTAATGATAAGTTCTTATATCACTGTAATTTCCGAAAGTGAGTCTTCCATCGCCTATTTGTGGGTAATTGCGAAGCCGATAGGTCTTGAACTTCTGCCTTCAAGCAAGCCTAGTTAGTGTTGTGTTATACGCGAGGAAACGTTATTCAAGCTCCATATGTGCCTAGTCGTCATAACTAAAGCACACATTGAAGTTGTTTATTACTGCGGTCAGTATGCGTTACACATCACAATCAACTGATTTAGTCACTTCTGTTTATCGGATCACTGTTTAGTTCTATTAGTTTCTAGTTTATAATCGATTAAATGACTGCTATTTTTGTGCTTCAGTATTATTCATTTCGTATGGTTTTAATGCAGCTAAACAGGCTATTAGTTAAATAGTTCTGCCCTCCTCTCCACCCATTTGAGATCAGACTTCATTTCTAGACCGACAATTTATTGATTGGATGTTTTCTGGTTAAAGTAAAGCACGCTCATCGTTAGGCTTGTAATGCCGATTACACTGAATGTTCTAATTTTTCTTGTATTCATTTTCCAATGCTTATTTATTTATCTTCTTGTCAATAAGTTGTCGAATGTTTTCTCACCCTCCCATCCCCTTCTCTCGTGTAGGCTGACTGCTGTGCGGATGGAGCCCACTGTTGTCCTGAGGGAACAGTTTGTAACTCCGACTCGAGTAGTTGTATTCCGAAGAGAGGAGCCTGGGTGAATCCCTTCAAATCCTCACCCAAGTTATTGGGTCGAAAGAGTGTGGTTTGCCCTGGTGGAAAATTGGCTTGCAATAAGGGCTCAACTTGTTGTAAATCTGCTGCCGGAGATGATTCCAGCTATTCCTGTTGTCCTCACGAAAATGTAGGTTTTTTGTTATATTCGGATAGCTCTTTCATTCGAGTCGTTGATGTCGTTGCGTTCACATTAAAGTTGGCCACTGACTAAAACCTCAAAGAAGCTTTTAGTGATATTTTCTGAATTAAAATTAACATTGCAGTTGCGTGAAATGCTAAGATGATATCCAAGTTAGCTTTTTAAAGTAGCGGATGGTATTAAATCTTGTTCAGTTCTCAATAGATCATTACAAATTATTCGATTTCTGGGGTTGATAATTATGGAAGTACATTACTTCTAGGTAAAGGTTTGGTCGATACTTCCTCTTATGGAATGTTTTTTTTATAAATTCGCCGCATTTTTTCCCATAAAATATTCTTTTATTGTTAAAGTTTTCATCTAGTCAGGTTTTCTTTTTCAGTGTCAATATCAACTTTAATACACTGTAATCGCCAGAAAGACCCTGAATTAGCCTGTTTGTATTGGAATCCTTGAAAGTGATGCCAGTTTTCTTTAGCGATTTTCATAGTTTGCATTTTTTTTAGCAATGTTCTGCCACGTCTTCCAAGTCGATGATCGACGGTTAGCCAGAGTTAACTTAATGTGGTTAAACTGATGAAGATGATAGACTAATCAAGTAAAATTTACTTGGTGCGTTTCAATTATCGTATGTCCTGCTGTAGGGGCACAATAGGTCTCAGATATCGAGCCGAATTGTAAGGTTAGGCTGTTTCAAAGTAAACCTATTTACAATGGAAATGGACATGGATAATTAAGCAAAGAAATGACTTAGGAGAAGAGGTAATAGTTAAAACTCGAAAAAATTTGATCACTTCGACCACTGTAGGAAGCTTCGGGATAAAAAAGCTACCCGGGTTGATAATTATCGAAGTCATTTGATTATCCACTTCTCCTTTTTAGGCCGTTTGTTGTGGTGATGGCGAATACTGTTGCCCAGAAGGTTACACCTGTGATACCAGCAACGGGGGTTTATGCGTCCGCCTCTCTTCTAACGTAGTTCCGAAGTCTCGTGTTGGAAAAGCATGCGCCGATGGCCGAACTTGTCCTGATGAAACAACTTGCTGTGCTCTTGAAGATGGCAGTTCCGCTTGTTGTCCTTTGCCTAATGTGAGTCTGAGGTAGTTGTAATTTAAGTGATGATGCGATGCCCTTTTCTAAGCTTTGTTTCCTTCCTCTTAGGCTGTGTGCTGTGAAGACCATGAACATTGTTGTCCTAATGGCTACCAATGCGATCTTGCCAACAGTAGATGCGTCCAAAAGACAGACCTCTCTAGTTCCATCCCAATCCTCAAGAAATTTACTCCTGCACCGGTCTCCAACGATGAAACCGGTTTTTAAGCCATGGGTTATATAAGTAAGCCTTGGAGAGTTAGTCTGCTAAAGCGACCCTATTTCATATCATTTGATTTGCCAATTGTTTAGTTAATTTCCAGCGTTCCTTGCCATAAAGCAAACGTGAAGAATGTGTCACTATGACAAGGAGGGGTGTGCCTGAGAGATTGGCTCCAAACTAACCCCTTCCGAATCAGGTGACATCAACACTGTAGTATTGTAAATAGTAGGTCAGACTGTTCTAATATAATACAGCGTCAAATTAGAGAACGACGACATGCTAATTCCTGTTAGACTGATCTATGGGTCGATAATTTTCTGGCTAGCTTCTGATAAAGTACCTCTAATTGCATAATGGAGTGGAGAATTGATGTGTATACTTCATCAAGGTGTCATATTTTTGAGACTAATTTTATGATCCGATTGCTTTTTTATTGCCAACAATTAGGCATACTCGATGAAATGGATACTTAATAGCATAATTTTGGAAACTAATTGCCATAATCTTATTTCTGGAGTGATATTTTTTGCATTTCGTTTTAGGTGCAAATCGGGTTACCTTCAACAGTAGCAAAATCTTTCCACTCATATACCTTACGTGATTTCAAAAAGTTTTAGCTAATTCATATTTGTAATTTTGTATACAACGCAGTCATGCTTGTTCCTAACTATTTGTCATTCACCTTTTGTTCCGTTTTTGAATAAACGTCATTTATATATAGTTATAAATTAGTGAAGGGGTTTAAGTGAACGTTGGGTTGCTAAACTATTGATTTATCGTTCTGCAGTCACCAATAGGTAGGTCATACATGGCGCCAGTGAGTTGTTGATACTTGCGCCTTGATTATTGGAACAGAACGGCATCGTGTTGGTTCACAATTTTTATCGAAAAAAGGGCTTAGCTTATAAGTAGCGGATTTCTGCACTAACAAAGCCTTGACTGACTCAGAAGTCTCTATGGCAGATACTCCTATACCTAGCTAGACTCCCAGAACTATTAGGTAGGCAACTAAGTCATTGCCGATTTCAAATAAGAAGGCAAATTCGGAATTTTTGTTTAAAAGTATAACTTTATTCAATTAGATATTGGCCGTTCTTGTCGATGACCTTTTTCCATCGTTCTGGCAGAGTAAAAATCCCCCGTTCGTAAAATGTCTGGTCTTTGCTATTAAAAAACTGAATTAGGTGTGATCCGACATCATCCGCGTTGTTAAAAATTTTACCATTTAAAGAGTTTTGCATGGAACGAAACTAATGGTAATCCGAAGGCGCAAGGTCAGGGCTATATGGTGGGTGTGACAAAACATCCCAACCCAGTTCCAATAATTTTTGCCGAGTAACCAAAGATGTGTGGGGCCTTGCGTTATCATGATGGAAAACAACACCCTTCCGATTTGATAATGCCGGCCGCTTATCTTCAATTGCATCCTTCACTTTTTCGAGTTCTTCAACATACACATTTGAATTTATCGTTTGGTTCTGCGGCATGAGTTCAAAATACAAAATTCCTTTGTGATCCCACCAGACTGACAGCATAATCTTTTTTGGTGAATCTCTGCTTTTGATACTGTTTGGGCTGGTTGATCTTGCTTCACCCATGATCTCTTGCGAGTAACATTGTTATAAACTATCCACTTTTCGTCGCCAGTAACTAGGTTCTTCCTCGGAAATGGATCATTCTCATTGCGTTTCAGTAGCGGCGAATCACAGATGCTAATCCGTTGCGTCAAATGAATTTCCTTTAACTGGTGAGGGATCCATAAATCAAGTTTCTTGACATGACCAAGGGTTTTTAATTTTTTTTTTCAATGCATGTATGCGACACATTGAGCTTCTCTGCAATATCTCGTGTTGTGCTGTGACGATTTGAATCGATAATGGCCTTGATATGGGTTTCATCCACTTCGACTGGGCGGCCAGATCGTTGTGAATTTTTCAGTGAAAAATCATCGGAACGAAATCTTTCAAACCAATTTCGACACTGCCTTTCTTCCTCACGGCTTCATCTCCATATACGGCACATAACTTCTTTTGTGCTTGCGATGCGTTCTTGCCTTTTCGGAAGTAATACAATAAAATGTGTCGGAAGTGCACGTCCTGTTCTTTCATTTTTAAATTGGGATAAAAACAAAACTAAAGAACTAAACAGAAAAATTTTTTACTAATTAAGCTAGAAGCCCATACAGTAAGAAAAAATACAGGTTAGATGCTCTGGCCACGTTAACAAAACAAAAGAAAGTATAGAGTGAATCTGTCAACAAAAACGGCAATGACTTAGTTGCCCATTCAATAAATAAGCTACAGTCCAGCTATTGAGGAAACAGACGCTTCACACGGAACACGTTCAATTCTGGAAGCATGTCGTGGTAAAAGTGCACATGCCGCAAGGTTAGTCATAATCAAAATTGCTGATCCACTCGAACAAACGAAGGCTTCTGATTGGCCGTTGGTTGTGCTCGCTAGCGGTGACGTATCCTATAGATAGCTGAGAATTTAAAATATTGCGAATAATTTGAATTGGCTTTCGACGAGTTCATTGATTTTACATTAATATTTTCCAAATACGAAAATATCGATTTTAAAATGAATCGGAAAGAGCTAGAACAAACAAGCAATTAACTAAAATCAACTCAGGTTCAAGTTTTGATAGAGGACAATGGTAAAGATGACTTGTTTAAATCCGAAACTTAGTATAAAGACTTGCTTTATTTCATTTATTTATACATAAATTATGGATAATTGGACAAAACTGTGATCTTTTACTACGATATATAATTATATGATTTCCACACCGACCATTTCTTACAAAAAAGTAACTTTGCTCTGATGCCAAGATAAAAAGTTAATGAAAAAGTGATGATAACCACTGCTGTTTAAGCTAGTTCTCTTCTGTGGCCTGTATATATAATGTCGAATGGGAAAGAGTTATGATGAAGAACTTAATTCGAGTAATAAGTCTTCACGAGAATGAAATTCCATACTTCGTGTTAAATTTAAGGCTTTCGGGTAGGATGACGCATAATTTAAATCATAAAGTAACCAATGAAAAGAGGTAGGATTTAAAGCAAACGTGAACATAAAAAATGGAGTGAGCTACTCTATGAGTGTAGCTTAAGCGTGGCCTCACGTTACTTATCCGCTTAGTGTATTGATATCAAAAGTTCAATTGCTTTTATTTGTTGATACCAAGGCAGAAATGGGCATGACTGTTGATTAATATATGAAAATCAGCTTACACCAAAATTAAAAATTCTATTTTTTAGTAAGGATAATAGTTGTTGCCTCAATGACTGATTATAGGTGCTACAGTATTCCTCTTACACTTAACTTTCAAGTTTTAAAGTATATTTCATGATGTGCTCGAAATTTAAATGTTCGATTATTAGTTACGTCATTCCCGATGTTGGAAATATAATTTTAGTCCCTCCCAGTGTGTAAAACTTACTGCTGCTCGTGCCATTATTGTAAATAATAATAAAATAGGGAGTGTCAAGCAAGCCTATAATCACTCTGTACAGAATCTTCTAAATTAATAATATATTTTATTTATTGAGTTACTGCTTAACTACAAATGAATTAGACACCCAAGAGGCCCTATTCGAATTAAATAATTATCTAGAACTTAGATCGACTTACTATTGAACAGGAAAACTATGAAACTTTGCAGATGAATAAGTTTGATAAAACTCATTATCTAACCTTTGCAATAAACTTGAACCTCGAATTAATGCATTAGCAAAGAGCGTTTTGTAAGATTTAGCTATTAAAATTGAGCAAAATGAAAGATATAAACATAATTAAAATATATATTTCGCTAGACTCTAAAAATAATGAAGTTGATGTAAAATAAAATACAATTTACAGTGGTTTGAAAATTCAGTTGAAAAATTATTGCAAGAATGTATAATAATGGGCTGGGTGGTTATGTTGTAGCGGATTGCTACATTAGTAAAGCCTTGACTATGTTGAGAATTGTAACGGATTGCTACCTTAGTAAAGCCTGACCGGATTGCATTGTAGCGGATTGCTACATTAGTAAAGCCTTTGACTATACTCAGAAATCTCTGTGGCAGATTCTCCTACTTCTAGCTAGATTCCCAGAATTAGCTAAGCTATAGCCCAGTTATAAAGGAAACAGACGTATAGCATTGTCTGTACTGTCGCTGCACACAGAGTTGTACGGCAGTACCTCCCAATCTTGGCTTGCAGGCATGCGATGACGCGTTAAGAGATGATGTTTCCCACAATGTATTACCACAATGGGCCTTCATAAATGTCCCTAATGTTCCATAACTGGAATAAAAATTTCGAAATGTCATAATTAAGGTTTCTTGTAATTAATGAATGCTTATAATCAACAATTAAAATTTTATAATAGTGTTAAAATGCCTTAAAAAGACATAGAATGCTCATGACCTTAAAAACCAGAGCGCGATATTCAGGCTCCCGTTTTATTATATTCGACCTGTTAGTACCTGTTGAATGTGGTTTCTAGTGTGGCTGTGGATCATTCCCTTTGATAATTTTGCCTTGGCAGCTTTAGAATGCTCACAATTGTGCGCTTCTGGCACCTGCTGCAAGTCAACCGACAATAAACTGCTCTGTTGTCCTTTTTCTAACGTAAGTTGAAATATTTAATATATTTCTATTTTATTTAGGGCATCTGTTGTGCCTCTGCTAATAAATGTTGTCCATCGGGTACCCAATGTCAGTCAGATGGTTTTTGTTCTAAAGCACGCTCTGGAGTATTTAGTCTTCTCAATTTTTTCGCAAAATCTTCGCCACAACAACAAGTAATTTACGTACTCGTATGATTATTTTTAGCTTCAACCGCGCATAGTAAAGGAAAATGTGAAGTCATGTTTATCAACATGCGGTGACCTATGTTGTCCATTTCCAAAAGTAATGTCCGCCGCAATATTATACTGCTTAAATTTCTTAGGGCGTTTGCTGCGAAGACGGGAAGCACTGCTGTCCGGCTGAATACAAGTGTGATGTTGCTACTCGATCTTGCCGTCTTTCTCTTTCTTCAATTTTCAAAAGTAGTCGAAACTGTCCCTTATCGGACTCAGATTGCTCTGATGATGAATCCTGTTGTATCTTAAAAGACGGCAGTAAGGGATGTTGTCCTTATCCGAAAGTAAGTTTATTTTGCCATGTTTTTCCACAATTTTCACCTGTAAATATTTCAATATCTGTTGAGTCATTCTTCTTATATGAATTTAATTTTTCGGACATATACTGATTCCGTTTTAATTCGTTTAATCCCATGAGTGTGGAATTTATTTGATAACATTATACTACCCATATGAGAACCAGTAGTATCGGTAACAGGAGTTCGGTCTTTCATAGAAAAGTTTGTTGTATCACATCGAAAAAATTGTACAAATATTTAAATCCTCATATGAAAACGATATAGTCATTTGAACGAAAAATGAATTTATGTGTTTATGGGAATTCCTCTTCCACCGCATTCTACGTCAAAATATTGCTGATTTTTCGCCTTTATCTCTCTATTGCTCTAACCTCTATCTGTTATGTTTGGACGAGTGTGCTACTTTTCAATAAGCGCCAGGTCTTATTCCAACGCACACCTCGTTTTTTCTCATGCGTGCGTCTCGTCCAAGTGACTCCGCATTTCCATTCACATTTAACTAACAGTCGTCTTAACTTCTTATTCATACAGGGGATCTACAAAGCAGTGATCATTAAAGGCACTTTAATTAATCATAAGAATGTGTTCTGTCCAGTTTGGATACCATCGATGTCGATGGAGCCTGTTAATATCATTAACTTCATTTTAAATAAATCCAAAATAAAATTCATTCAGATATTTTTCTCCTAAACAAATGTCCCTTAAAATCGTATATACAGAAAATTTATAATATCATTGAATTATTATTGGAGGTCCTAACTGATGATTGTGTAAATTTAAGCTTCATTTTCATTAGTTCCTATCTCTGGGACTGTTTAATTTGAATTTGGTGGCAAAAACATTGATCGTAATTGAGAGCGCCGCCTTTTTGAATTGTTGAATGTCGATGGTCTTTGAATTGTATGAAAATATATCAATAGAAAGCGGTAGAAAAGCCTCAATTGTAGCCGATTTGTGGGTAATTATGAAGCCGATAGGTCTCGGACTTCCGCCTTCAAGTAGGCCTAGTTAGTGTTGTGGTACACGCGAGGAAACGTTATTCAAGCTCCATATGTGCCTAGTCGTCATAACTAAAGCACACATTGAAGTTGTTTATTACTGCGGTCAGTATGCGTCACACATCACAACCAACTGATTTAGTCACTTCTGTTTATCGGATCACTGTTTAGTTCTATTAGTTTCTAGTTTATAATCGATTAAATGACTGCTATTTTTGTGCTTCAGTATTATTCATTTCGTATGGTTTTAATGCAGCTAAACAGGCTATTAGTTAAATAGTTCTGCCCTCCTCTCCACCCATTTGAGATCAGACTTCATTTCTAGACCGACAATTTATTGATTGGATGTTTTCTGGTTAAAGTAAAGCACGCTCATCGTTAGGCTTGTAATGCCGATTACACTGAATGTTCTAATTTTTCTTGTATTCATTTTCCAATGCTTATTTATTTATCTTCTTGTCAATAAGTTGTCGAATGTTTTCTCACCCTCCCATCCCCTTCTCTCGTGTAGGCTGACTGCTGTGCGGATGGAGCCCACTGTTGTCCTGAGGGAACAGTTTGTAACTCCGACTCGAGTAGTTGTATTCCGAAGAGAGGAGCCTGGGTGAATCCCTTCAAATCCTCACCCAAGTTATTGGGTCGAAAGAGTGTGGTTTGCCCTGGTGGAAAATTGGCTTGCAATAAGGGCTCAACTTGTTGTAAATCTGCTGCCGGAGATGATTCCAGCTATTCCTGTTGTCCTCACGAAAATGTGAGTTGATAATTGCTGAAAGTCTTTCCTCAACAGTCAGGTTTTCCTTTTGTATTTATTTTTAGTAACTTTTCTCCCATTTTGGTAAAATTACCTTTACAGTTTAGTTAAATTATGAATTGATCTTGATATTCAATTAGTTGTAGAAGGATTATAGTCTACTTTAAGAAGAAGCTGGGTTGAATAAAAAATAGTGTTAACAAGGATCTAAATCGGTTCGAGGGACCAGAATTCATTAAATTTAGGTGATTTGATGATCAAGGTGCAAATCCCTTTTAACTTTAGGTGGGTATTTAAATTACCCGTATTATTAGACAGATCAACTTATCATTTGAAATCTTTGTGGGGCTAAATCCTGATTTAACTGTTCATTTTACTATTGTTGTATTTTTAAATAATAACGTACATTTGTGCATTCAATCTACCTGTGAAGATCATTTTCTCTGTCTTCCATTTTTCCAAGCTCTTTACCGCTTTGATAATGAAATCGGCTTTCTTTCTTTTCTTCTATTTAATTTACTTTTATTCTCATTTTGATCCAGTTGAAAATTTATTCTCTGCTTTCGTAAATTTCAGGTTTGAATTTTCAAAACTTTTTACGTGTGACTTGTTAACTTGTTATTTGCCCAGGCCGTTTATTGTGGTGATGGAATACATCGCTGTCCAGAGGGTTACAAATGTGATCTTAGAAACGGTGGTTCCTGCGTCCGCGCTTCAGCCGAAATCACGAAGAAATCTATTGGCGGAAATAAGTGCAATGATGGTCAAACAGTCTGTCCAGATGATTCTACATGCTGCTCCCTCTCAGATGGCACTTACGGATGCTGTCCCCTCCCTAATGTAAGTCTACTGAAATTTTCCTTTAAGTAGTATTGTAAAACCTGTACGATAATTGAGGCCTTTTGCTTTTAGGCTCTTTGCTGTGAGGACAAGTTACACTGTTGCCCCAATGGTTATAAGTGCGATGTCGCTCATAAAAGATGTATTCACACCAAAATAAATTGGTTGACAGTGCCGATCAGTAAGAAGCTTGTTCCGTACACCGCTTATGGAGAAGTGAAAAAGTCCGATTGCAAGCCCAATTGGACATCGTGTTCTGCTAACGGTCGCACGGGTTGCTGCCCCCTTAAAGATGTAAATTCCACTCTGCTTTACTACTTACATAATATACAGCCTCCCTCGATGGATCTAATCTTTTCTTTGTCCGCGTTTAGGCCATTTGCTGCTCAGACGGTTTACATTGTTGTCTAAAGGGTTCAACTTGTCTAGACAATGGTATCTGCCTTGTAGATATCAAGACTCACGATTCGCACAAAACTTATGCGAGAGCTGCGCGTCTCCTGTAATCCGAGTGGAATCCTATGCAGATAAACAATCTCGGTACATTTAATTCGCTATGTGACCTTCCAATGTATTCAATCTAAACCCACTCCGAAATACAAGTTCTATTAATAAAACTTTCTAATTTCCTCATTTCTAGTTCATTCAAAAAACAGACTTTTTTGGTATTCGGTCAAATCAAATCTTATTTACTTGTTTTCTCTATGGAAAATTTGCAAAATAAAAACCTAGGTTTCTGTAATCAATTTATGAAATGTTGGATGGTGAATGATAAAAGAGATATCTGATTCAAATGATCTATTTCCTTCTAATAATTCTCTCGGTTTGTTATTTCCCCATTCCTGCCTTCACTCGTTTCATTTACTAAAGCGGATTTCTTGACTTCTCCATGTATCTCCCTCTCTCTCATCCCATTGAATGTGATGTGTGTTCACAATATGTTTCCTTTCCTGGTCATTGTCTCGCACATGACACACATGCACACCGATGCAAAGTCTCCTGTCTCAAATTGTTTGTATAAAAGCCTCTAAATTTCATGATAAAATTCGGTTCAGAGCATAAGGTCCCTCCTCTGGGCTCTCTAGATATTATTATTTCAAATGTCAGGATTTATCATTAGCCTCATAGTCAGGAGTCAAGTGCCCGTTAATGGGTTTTTTTGCCGTATGAGTAGACGTTGCCCAGAGTGTACCAAGTGGAGGTAAATCTATCGAGCACCTCAGGAACTCTAGTTCTAGTGAGGTCTTTATCTAAGTCTTGATAGGTTTTTTTTATAAAACGTTAAATACGTCCTCTTGACAAAGGTGGTAACTATTTTATAAGCATTGATGTTTTCAAGTTAATTCCACAGTGTTCAATTAGCTGAACCAATAATATCTGGGAAAGCTATTGAAAATACGCCTATTTATTGAAAATTGAAATCGAAACACTAAAAGTATTCAGCCGATCGGGGAGTTTATCTCAATGGAAAACTTAATTTGATGACTCATGACTATACGATATGACTTTTTACAACACTTAGACATCGTTTGTATGAAGTCACAATAAACAACATCCCACATAAACAGTCCATTGCTTTGACAAGGTCTTAAGAGTTGGTTAATTACAGTTTTTTGTATGCAGATCAGAACATTTCACGTAGTTTATGCACGAATTATGCGGTCTGTTGATAATATAAGAATTCCAGGTAATAGTGTGGGGTACTTAAGCATTGACCAGTCGCTTGCTACCTCATTCGTCAAGTGATATTCCATATGTTTGTGGCTTATCTAATGATATAATTGGCAATGTTTACTTAACCAATCCAGTTAAGTAACTAACTATACTGTCAAAATGACTTTATTACTCCCAAAACTTAACCTTTCTGGTCACTAGCATACCAACGTTAACTCAATTTTCTCTCCCTCAAATGACCCCAGGCCATTACGCTATTTATTGACTTCCATTTTTTTATAGTTCGTTTTCTAGCAAAGATTTTAATTTATTTTTTGCCTTCTTTTTAGTCTGAATAACCTATCACAATCGAAATATTTATTTATTTATAACAAATGGCAGGCGTTTTGATGATTATCATTAGCCCTTTAGTTGACTTCAGACTTCACAGAGGGGATGGAACATCAAATTGAAAAAGTCGATAGGAGGGGAACAGAAGAGTGTTTCAAAGACGAAGGTTGAAAATTTAGAAAAAATGTGATAAAGAACTGTGGAAGTGGTCGAATATGACATACAGTGGGGTCAGAGGTCAACTACCGGTTAATAGACTTTTTATCGTATGAGAATACGTTGACCAGGGTGCACCACGTGGAGGTAAGTCTAT